GCTGAAAATGTCACTTAGCCCAAAACTCAAAAGTTGCGTGTTTCTGATGACAGCAATGAAAGGTGAACAGTTGCTTTTCCTCCTCTGGATTATGCAGGGTTGTACTTTTCTGCCTGTTCTTCGTGCAGTAAGTTCTTGGGGGCAAGGCTTGCTTTTAGCTCTTGTTGTCAGAGATGAACAAATCATTAATTTTAGAAATAAGTAACCGAAGACTGACTAGCTGGAGCTGCACTCAGTCCTGCCATGCTGGAAAAGAGCGTTATTTTGTTGTATTCTTAGGGAACAGTTTGAAGTCACCCAGGATTTCCAGTTCCGTGTTCATCAGCAAACTAATGGAGAAGAAAAATACTTAGAAATGAGACAGTTTAGGAAACCAGTATCAAGTGTGGGTTTTGTCCTGCAAAAACTGTGCCAGGAGACAAGCTGTATCCATCTGGTTTAGGAGTCACCTGAATTAATCCTCGTGGGTGGGTCCTAGGAGTAGAAAAATGTCAAAAACAGGGCAAAATTTGCTTCCACCCAGCCCCTGGTGGGCAGCTGTGGAGGATTCTCAAGTCCCAGTCCCTGTCTTTGGTGGGCAGTGGAGTCTTTTGCCACACGTGTATCCATCATGGTAGGAAGGGCTGGATACTTTTCAGGGTTTGCAGTAGTTCCTCCTGAAAGAATGAAAGAGAACGTGGAGCTGAAAATTGAGATTTCTCTGTTCCTTGTGTCATTTCTCTTCCCAACAGCCCATCTGGCTGAGAGTTTGTAAGTAGAAGCAGAGTGATCCTGCCTGGAGAGATTAGCAGGGAAAACACTGGAAGCACAGTAATGCCTGCGTATAACGTACCTGGAGCATCACCTCCGGCTGCTCCAGCTGCCTGCCCAGCTCCTAGAGAGCATTTTGGATGTGTCAAGCAAGAACATTTTTAGAAGGGAAGGTTCGAAGTCTTGCTGTCACACCAGGTCACAGTCAAGGTTCTGGTTGGCATTGTGTCAAGGGCTGTGAGTTTAGAAGGGGAGAAAGAAGCGTGCCAGAAACTCGAGGCATCAAGAGGTAAATGCCTTGCCTTCCAGTTCCTTGCAAGGAAAATATGAAGTATATGGCAATGTTAATAACTTGTTAGCAGAGATTTCTGTGAGTTAATTTCCTAATTTTAAGGGTAACGTTAATCCTCTTGCCAGGAACTGAGCTGGCACAATCCTTTTTTTTCCCTTGCGCTCCCGGATTTCTCCTGCCTCTGAGGAGGAGCCGAGATGATGGCTGCAGACGGGCTTCCCACTGGTCATGGTGAGGGGCGTGGGGACATGTGTCAGACCACAGTCCTCTGCAGTGGACTTCAGAGTGGTCCTTGCTGGGGAGGTTTCTTTGCAGCTTTTCCTCCATCCCCTGTCTCAGTAAGGGTTTGGGGTGGGTGTCAGGAGCACGGGGCCAGACTCTTTCCAGTGGTGCCCAGCGACAGGAC